TAGATCAGCAATATGCTACGGAATCATTTCAAAATGTAAGCGTTTCAAATTTTCTGTATTGAAATATATATTTTCTTTATTTATAAATAAAATTATGGCTCACTAATTACACTCTATTTTTAATGAGACCCGTTTTTATCGGTGGCATGTAATTGTGTTTCTATGTATACATAAGCCACATCATGCCTGTCTCCAAAGGGGCTAGCTAGATATCCTCCAGTCCCTCCAGTCGCGTAGGTTTCTGGGAACTGGAGAGAGGCTTCGGCGTCGGGAGGTGAGCGTGCCTACAGCTCCGGTACCTATCTGGAAAATAGGGAGGGTGCTGTACGTGTAACGTGCACCAGGGGCAGCTCACCCAAGGTCTTTTGAGAACCGAATGAAGTCCGTGCAAACGGCTAGATCAGGACCTGACTGAGAAGGTCCTGGTGCAGGCTTTTTTTGATTTTTTTTATAGTATCTAGCGACAGAACGAACAAGTCGTGCGCCTTCTTCTTCTTCTTCTTCTTCTTGAAATAGGTCTAGATAGATGCACGCCTGAGGACTCTTCCGATCTTGTCTGTAACACCTCTCACGTAAGGTAAAATGGCAGGTCTTCGCTCGACTGCTGGTGATTTCACACGGGGCCTGCGGCATTGGCGTGGAATCTTTGACTTATTCGTATGTAGGACTTGCTTTATATGCTGAAGTTCCCCTGCCAGATGATTACTGTCGCAGACACCATGTGCTCTATGAAACAAAGATTTGCCCACGGTAGCTAACTGGCTAGGATGGTGATGAGAATTACCATTGAGAGACCTATACCTACCTGTATGGGTCTTCTTTCGAAATACAGTATAGCCTATGGTGTCATTAGGATTTCTTTTCATCTAAGAACCAATAAAAGTACCACAATTCTCTTGTTCCATAGTAAATTGGATCTTGGAACGTCGGTTTGTTTGAAAAAACAAATATACGCGATTTAAATCCGGAAAAATGGTTTCATTTCCTATGTTGTTTTTAAATATTTCTTAACATCGCAAATTGCCGTGAGACATCGAATCAGCGTAACTCTTCGTTATTTTAACCGAATCATTTGATTGGATATCGTCGGTCAAATAGATTATAAGAAAAATGAAAACCCTTTTATATACATTTTCAAAACTTTAAAAGCCTAAAATATAGGAATGTATTAATTAGTCTTGCATTAAAATAAATTAATAACATTGACCAATATCCAGACTTTATTCAAAATAATAAGAGATTTCCATATTAATTCTTGCTTTTTAAACAATAGGACGTTCAGTAAGTTTCTTTCGATAACTGTGTTCTGAGTAACGTTTCAGCCTTTGCCGGTCGAGAAGTTCGAGTAACATCATTTCAAGGTGTTTCAATTTTCAAGGTGTGACGTCATTCAGGTTCGGTTTAGAATACGACATTTAGACGTTCGATTCGTGAGTTGTGAATAAAAATTAAAATAAATCGGTCGACAACTGCGTTATCGTAAGATTCTGAATCGACCCCGAAGCGAAATAAAAGGAAACACAAATGTCAACAATAACCCATTTATTAATAAACAACAACTGCCACCCGGCTCTCATGCATTACATACATTACAAGTAAGTCGTACTGATCTCCAATACGATCTAACAAGTGTTCATAAATATTTGAAATTTTGTTCAAAATCTACCTTACACTTTTTGTTAATATGGTGTATTTTTAATTGAAGCCTTATATTTAATAACTTTAAGGTTGATTTTTGTCAAAAGTTCAAAAATTTTTGAATACTTAAAATCAATCTGACGCTGACTGTACTTTTCCGGAACACACAGAGACGTAAACTACGCCCAATTCAGAGCAACAGCAGATGCTCAATTATTTTTATTTATTTATGACAAAATTGTAATAACAAATCATAACCTTAATATTAGAACGACAAGGGTTATTGAAAAAGCCGAAATTAGATTTGATTTAAGCAATAATTCTAATGTCCCCTTTGGCACGAATCGAGGTGAATTATTATATTTTATGTTTTTAATGAAAATGGTTTTAATGAAAATATTTTACGCTTGAAAATGTTTAATGATTTTAATGAAAATAATGCCTTTGAACAACTAATTTTATTTTAAATTGTGAAATGTAGCAGCTCTATTCGACATAAGTAAACCCTTGTTGTCCTATAAAATACGTCTTGCCCAAGTCTGACATAACAACAAAAATAAAATGCTTACAAAAAATTGTAAATGCAAAAATTAAAAGTCCTACGTTGTCGTCGATTCTGTTCTCTTGACGAGATTCACATACTAAACGCGAGTTGATAATTGTCCATTTTACAAACCGTATCGCGTTCAGTGTGTGAAGGTCGTTACTTTCAAATCTGCATTAAGAGAAAGCACTATATTGTCGTTTATTCTATTTCTTTCATACAATGTTCCCACACAAAGTCCGAGTTGACGTTAGTAATTTTTTATATGGTAACCACATCGTGTTGGATGTGTGAAGACATATCGTCTTATTTTGAAAAAAAAAAACAGGGGAGCATGTTTTAGGTTTTAACGATTGTTTTAAAATATTTACGTCCTGTTTTAAAATTCAATTATGGTTTTCATTAAGTTTTAAAACAGGACGCAAATATTACGACGAAATATGACTCGTATTTGTTAGTGCGTCAATGAGCACAAAGTCGGCCAATTTGAAACAAATCTAATCTTTATATCTTATCTTAGGAGGAGAGTTATACGTTTGATATCTTTGTCTGTATATCTATCTATCTTTAATGTTAATGAAAAATCATTAATTGAACCTATTTAATTAAAATTACTAGTCGGAAAGTGGCTTAAAACGTCATTAACTATTTATGCAATAAGAAAGTTATACCAAAATTAATTTTAACGATGCACAGATTAAATTTGTTTAACATCTCTTTTCACACTGATTTACTCTGAACCAAATAGACGGTTAGGGGGTACAGACAGAAGGTAAGATACTTGAAGCTTTGACTGTACAGGACGTTACTTAATGTAAATAGACGTTTGTGCATTAATGGGAAAAGTTTTTGCTCCACCTCAGTGTTTTCCACTAAAATTAGTGATGAGTGTAGAATTTTACGACATACAACAGAATCGACACTCTATTCAAACTATGTCAATTATACTTTTAAAGCCAGATAGATCTTTTCAGCATTCCTAGTGCGTATGGAATAAAAACTTGCACTAAGAGATGGCTAAATTTCATGTCTATACTGGATTTAGACCTATCAGGTCTCAATTTCATTCCTAGGTAGTATGTTTTGGGTACCATTTTATTTTCACGTCCAGTAATCTCGAAATGACATCTAAAAATCGTAAACTCTCGTCGTGATTATAATTGTCATTTTGTTGTTGTAATCGGGTAACTTGTGTAGAAATAATTAAAAGAACGTATATGGGTTTGAAAGCCATGGAACCAATAAGGCTTTAATTTATGTGATTATACAAGAAAAAAGGGTCCATTAACAAATAAACTCAATTTTAATGCATTAATAAATTTAAGTAGTTAAATTAAAAATAAGGTATTTAAGTTAATAAACTTTTCTAAGAATAGTGAAAAATAGGGTGATTTGCATTAACGTTAGACATAACAAGTTGATGACTTTACGATCTCAGTCACCCATGACCATGGGACCTGTAAAGGGCCCCGAAACGTTGGTCCGTTTGAAAAAAAAAGGTACACGCAATTTAGACCCGAAAAAATAAAAAGTAAGGAAATAAGAATAAAATGACATTTCGAGGTTGCCAAAAGTTTAAATAGTCATGTAGTTGTTATCGACAAATTTATCGATAGATCGTGAAATAAAGTAAAATTTTGTCAAATATTTCTGAATTGTGAATGTTAGGATGTTCTAATGATTACTAATAATAATAATAACTGCGTTAATGCCTTCCTTATTTCTACTTTGACAGTCGGCCTACTAGTATCGAAATAAATTTTTATTATATACGTTTTAATAAGAACATGCGAATGCGAATCTATATTGAATTAAAATGAAAAACTTTAAAATGTCTCCTCTTTGTATTTTTTATGGACATAGTTATAAATGCCGTGTACATACACATTCTATAGTGCATGAACTTACAAAAACTGACCATTTAAATGAACCCTGGCCAGCAGTTGGAAGAATAATGAGCGAATGCTGATCATGGAAATAAAAGTTCGGCTATTTATTGCATGGGCGTAACAAACACTAGTCGATAAAATATTTAAAGACTGCAATCACTAGGTGCTCGCAAGCGGGCAACGCTTTTGCCCAATAAACTGTCATTTTACTCCACGTTGAAAAAAAAACAGGCTACAAGAATTTAAAATCACTAATCAGACTAAGTAATTTTTTCTATGGACCCTGTTTCTTGCTAAATATTTCTTCTCCTGTTTACTTACATATAGTCGGGTTAAAACTGAGCTTTGCGCGTTTATGTGATTCGGAAGAACGAGCCTATGTCCAGCAGTGAACTGTCGCAATAATCGGTCAGTGCATAAACTTCAATATCGTTGAAAGAACTACACTACCACGGTTAAACAATTTATTGTATGGCGGCCATTTTGGATCTGTATGTCACATGTTGGTACCTTTTCACTGCTAACGCCACATAGAGCTCAGTTCTAACCAAGAAGTCTAAACAAGTTATCGCATGGCGGCCATTTTGGATCTGTATGTCACATGTTGGTACCTTTTCACTGCTAACGCCACATAGAGCTCAGTACTAACAAGAAGTATAAACAAGTTATCGCATGGCGGCCACTTTGAATCTGTATGTCATATGTTGGTACCTTTTCACTAACGCCACATAGAGCTCAGTCCTAACTAGACATAAGCGCCGCCCACGATTTCGTATTATGTATGCGTAGTGGAAATGGCGACGCCAGAAATTGACATTTCTAAGAAAAAACTTAGTGACTTTATATTCTAAGATGTTTTTGTTTAAAACATTAATTCTGGCGTCGCCATTTTCACTACGCATACTAAACACGGAAGCGTGCGCGTGCGTACGATCGGAGCGCCTGATCGAACTGATAAAAATTTGATTACTGTAGAAATACGTTATTTCATTTTTTCCTTTGAAAAAGTATTTGTAAAAACAAAAGATACTTTTTCGTCGGCGCGCCGGCACTGGTTGGTCTACTAACGGCACTCATATCTAGTTCTAACCAACAAGTCTAAATCCTAATTTTTTAAATTGATATATACATCTAGTGCTAAAGTACTGTGGTAGGATGCAGGCACTAGGAGGAGGGTCCCTTTGCGACGCCGACTAGAGCGGGGCGGACGCAGCGACCGTGGAGTTTGTACCCAACCTTGCTGACTGCGACTACTGTACCTGGTTCGGCTCCCTCCACTTCCTGAAAGCGACAGAAACGGTTGTTTTGAGCCTTTTTATCATTAAAAACTATAGTGAAACAAAAGCTTTATGCTAAAGGTTATTATTACACTTTAACACCACGTACAAGAAATATTAGTTATTATTTTATTAATAATAGGAGTTCTAGTCGGATATTAAACGTTTCGTCATTTTAATAAAAATGGAAGAAAATTAATTTGCTACTCCGCGAACCCAGTGAAAGTTATATCTAGATAGACTATTTTTTCGTGCAGTTAATTAAAAAAATAAAATAAAAATATTCAACACAACAGCTGTTTTGCACGATTTAACGAGTGGTAAATTAATTTACTTTCGTTTTTATTAACATTGGCTTTAGCAAAGTAACCCCTGAATCTATTAGTTTCGTGATTTGTAACACTAGGGAATCCCTGTATCGCGGGTGCCATGGACATGCACATAGGTAGCCAACCACAAATTACACCCAAACTCACGAGAGAAACAAATGTAGGCCATACAAATATTTCTCCCGGCCCGGGAATCGAACCTGTGACCTCTGCGTCGCAGTCCGGCATGGTAACTGTTCGGCCACGGAGGCAGTAGGTTTGTGGGTAAATGTTCGTAGAATCGGGGACCTATTACCCGCGGATTTCTCGTTGCGAGTACGCTTGTACGTCCCTTATAAGTGCTCAAGTTTTGACGCGCATAAAGTCTTACAGATAGTTTCTATCTATAATATTTTAGATGTAAAGATACCTCTCTGAGTCGAGAAATAAATTACTCATAGATGGTGCTACGGCGAAAAAGTCTTTAAAAACCAAAAAACAGAGATGCGACAGCACAGAAAAGTCTTCTTAAGGTCTGACAAGGTGGCTTATTTGGCAGAGCATTTAGCACGGATTGCCGGAAGGTGCTGGTTCGACTCCAGCCGGATCCAATGATTTTTTCGATTGTTATTAATAATTATAACAAACTATAATTCTAGCCAAATTCGATGTAGAATGTTTAATAACAAAACGTTGCTTGGCAACCAACGATGGCATAGGAAAAGAACATTTTTTTCGATGCACATTATTAAGGCTTGTTCTGCCCACGACCTGCTCCCTTAATTGGAATTTAAATAGGTAAGTATGTAATTGGGTTATGTAGAAGTAATACTTACCTAGTCAATTATTATAAAATTTACAAAATACTTATTGATACGTATTTGGGAATAAAAATAAGTTTTTGCATCCTATTAATATTTATTTCTCGATGGTAGATGAAAAGAAACAAAATTGTTAAAATTTTATTTGGTATTAATTTACCACATCATCCAGAATCAATTTCCGATTCTGAACTTGAATTACCACCAGAACTCGAATGTTTGCAATCTCTCCCTTCATATCAAAATGTCACTAGGGATGACACAGTTTTACAAATAATTAGTTACTGGTCATTTTTATGTTATTTCTAGGTGATTTGAATTTGCAAATTGCAAATTGCATTTAGTATTATTTTTAATCTAGTCGAATTTCGTAGGAAAATTTTAAAATTGTGGTAACTGTGAAAGAGTCGGAGATGAAAACCCTAAAAATCATCTATTTTGTTTGTTGACATTTATTCTCAATCGATTTTGGCTAGAGGTAGTGGAGTAATTTCACAAAAAAAAATATCATGGTAGTAAACGAGATACTGAATAAAAATTATAGATTAGATTATTTGTTAGTCAACATTGACTTACAAATAAATGGACGACGGGTCTAATACAAAAACCACGAAAAAAATGTCCCAAGTCAACCTATTTAAACGTAGTGACATGTAAAGGAATATGAAAAAGCTAAAACGTTGAATTTAAATTGTAATGTCATCGCAGTACTGTCTAATTTTGCTTGCTTCGCTGTCAGTAGAACAAACGAAGACTAAAGCGTGAATGACGCTCTGTATACGATTTTAACGCCCTATAAGTTCGGCCACTTTTTAGCGCGGACACGACGTCCATATAATTGTAAGTCAATGTTAGTCAAATATAAATTGCACTACTTTAAAATGATGACTTTCTGGAGTACACTGTTTTACATCTGTTTTTTTTTTCAGCTATGAATTCAGTTCACAAACTTACCTGCTGGAACAAAGCTTCATGCAAGTTGGGATCGAACTTCTGGCGTAGCGGTGACACCACCACCAGGCCGTGTCTGTTGAACACCTGTAGATCATTAAAATGGTGTTAGTATACGTACATTGTAACTGAGTGAAGAAACAACATAGAAATGTCCTATGTATGTCAACAGCTCACCAACCTGTGACGATGTAACGAAATGGACTTTGAAAAATCAATGAAGCAGTTATTAATAAAAAAAAAAGTTATTATAATATAAATGAATACATCTGTGATAAAAATTTTAGACTAATTTAGAGTAGAATGTATTTTTTTAATATTTTTTATTATGTCATGAAATCTCCTTTGACTTTTAGTTACTAATCTAAAAATTGTATTACCTATTTTTAACCGACTTCAAAAAAGGAGGAGGTTCTCATTTCGACTGTGTTCTTTTTTTTTTGTATGGATGTTACGCGATAACTCCGGTATTTGTGAACCGATTTTCATGATTCTTTTTTTGTTGGAAAGGGGGTACTTCCATAGTGGTCCCATTTCATTTTGAAGAAAATCATCCACCTTGAAGGGTGGCTGTTCACGCATGAAGATTCATTTTTATAAATAGCGCCTAACTTTAATTTAGGAGCCTTTTATTACTTTAATGGTTGATTTTGCTATTTCTCCAATTCAAGGCGTTTTTCTCTCAATATACTTTGAGTAGTGAGAACCGATTTTTATTATCTCCTGTGTCAAGTCCTGTATAGTGGCGAACTAGGGGATATTTCAATAAAACTTAGCAAATAGACGTAATTCCACGTACTTTTGAGGTCGGTTTTTTTAGTACGCTGTACTGAGATTATTATTTTGCAATTTTTATTCTCCTGCCCTAAAATGTGTGTAATGTTAAAATTTTATAAATATTATTATTTATTTTTAACGAATTTAACGCATGTATTGGAATTGTTTGATATATGTATTTTGTTGGTGTAAACTTATTAATCTATTATAAAAAATCCCTCTGTAATTTGCTATGCCCTTACAGGGCGTCACATGGTACTTTACGATAATCTACCAACTTAAATTGTATTTTGTACGCTTTAACTGTGACATGCAAATAAATTATTTGACTTTGCCTTTGACCTTGACCACGACCTAGCTCTGGAGCAAAGATAGGATCTACGATAGAACGAGCTCGCCCAGAAGATGCCTATTCAGTCGTACCTTGAAGATACTCGGGTTGTATGAGTTCGGAAACACAGTCGCAGGCAGGGAATTCCATTCCTGGGCTGTGTGCATAATAAAAGATAATGAACGCTTTTCATCATATTTTATTATGCACACAGTCCAGTGTTTTAGTACGTCTGACGGGAATATCGACCAAGTAAGGATGACATCCGGCCGTACGTCTAGATGTCCGATGGTAAAAAGGGGGTTCCTTCATGGCGCGAAAACTCAGTAACAACGCATTATCGCCCGCGTCTTTTACTTGGGCGTCCATATCGTGAATTGTTTTTGGCGGGAATGAACGAATGAATCCGTGGTGCGATGTGTCGTGAAACATATTTAAAAATTTGGACGTAGTTAAGCAAAAAGTATCCAATCCACAAAATTATCAAAAAATGAGTTATATGTACCTAAAGTCTAACCTCTTAGATCAGCAAAAAAATCCAACATTATAAACATAAATAAATATGTCTGGAGTTACATGTCATTGTAAGTTTAGAAAATAAAACAAAAGTGAGCGACACTTTTAAACTTTAAACTGCCATATCTCGACAGTGACTGGATGTGCATTGGATCCTATTTGTTTAACTACGTCCATTTATTTATTTCTAGGACAACCAACAAGACATGAATTAAATATATCAAAGTTGAAACAGTAACACAGATACTTATACCGAATTCTGCTTCAATTAAAGGTCGCCACAGCATGTGGACACGACAAAAAAAAACAAGTAGATCCAATGAAATAGAAAAAAATAACTTAAAAGTTATGAACCATAATTTAAACAATATAAATAGCTACAAATAATTAAATATTAATATTAAAAATGTAAGTTTTAAAAACAAGATAATGTAATTAAAAATAAAATCTGACGTATCAAAGCAAATTTGCTCAGGAAAATGTATACAGCCAGCCCACGACAATACCCAAGATTAGTTCTTTTTTTATTTTTAAATTAAACATTTTCAGTTCTTTTTATCAAATTTCGTAATGATTAAACATTTCATAACCATCATAAACATGCAGAGATGGGCAGGGGGTTAAAACCCAATCAATCCGCCCGCGTTTTAACCCATTTCTGTCCAAAATCGTGGGCACAAACGTCGAATACGGAATTTGGTATAATTCTACACTTATTAGAGATTTCGATGTAAAAAATATTTTTTAGACGAAAGAGAGGCATCTCCACACAACAGCCACCTTGCAATTCTGTGAATTCTCACTGCTAAGGATGCACATTAAGATCGATTCAAGTGCATACGATCTAACGATTTTTTGTATCGATTTATTTCAAGCGAATTGATTCATTAAAAAGGTAATTTGCCTAGATCAGAAAACAATAAACATTTTCTAATAATATCATTAAAGAACAAAACTCGATTTACACAAATATTTAGTTGTAAATGGCTTTTGCCCTCGATTTCGGGCGTTAATAAGTTTTAACCCGGTGTTAATAAAACCAGGGCAGGTTGATTCTCATCTCTGACTGTGACAGACGGACGGACAGAAGTAATTCCATAACCCTATGTGTACACTCGTAGTACATACCTGCGTGAGCATGGCGCTGGTGAGCCTCACGCCGTCGTGTAGTGAACGCAGCGCGGCGTTCGCCCCCCCATCGGCACCGCCCCCCTCTGACGCCTCGCCTTCGGGCACGCTCTCTGCGGCCGTCGCCAGCGTGTCCGCAACCTAAACAAGGACAAATATCTATTATAATAACAATATTTTAATATTAACAGAACCAGTGACGAACGAACCAGCGGCCCTCACGAATTTTTTCATGTGCTTGTTGTCGTATCTTTGTATTTGGTTTTTCAACGACTTTTTAGCCGTAGCGCCATCTATACGAATACTATAAAAGTATTTCGTCACCCAGTTAGATACCTTTAAAGCTATCAGCCCCGGATAGAGATGTCGCTATTCACTGTATTGAACGAATGAATGTGTATATCTATAAGGTACTGTAGTCTAGGCTCTACTCTATGAGTAGAATGACTGGCTGAATATAGGTAGTGATTATAGTTTTATATTTAGAATGTTAAGAAAACAGAAGATCTTGACATAGTAGATTATTGATTTGTAACCCAAAGCCGAACTATGTAAAAGAATACAATAAAGTATATTTTGAAGATTATTCCACTTTATATTCATAAAAGTACCTCTCGCTGCGCATCCCAAGCTACGCCTCATTACAGCACCCAAACCACTGTAACTAAGAATGAGGAATTTAATGAAAAACTCACGTCAAGCAAATCTTTGCAGAAGCTTTGTATGGCAAACGATTTGGCATCCTCGATTTGCTTCAGCATTCTTCGACGCACGTTCTCACCGTCTGCTAGAGCGCGCTTGTATTTATCCTGCAAACAATATAATTATTATCATTGTATGATATCATGGGGCAAACAAGTTGTGCACCTGGTGTTAAGCGACATGCCTGTCCATAACAGTTGCAATGTCACTCAGAGCTTTAAATCAGTGGTAGTACTTCCCTAGAAAAACACTTTTACAAGGAGCTCTACTGCTACTAAAATCATATTCCAACACACAGATATACTAAATGGAGTATGCCTCTAGCAGACAGAATTTTCATGTTTAAACCATTACAACAGAATAGTAATGTAATCTTTATGTCTCTTAGTAACATGCCAGCCTTTACCTGGCAAAAATAAGATGTATATCTTTATATTAGCTTAATGCTAATAGCCTATGGGCCATCTCCCAGTGGAGTTACATCACTGAAAATACATTCAAATACATACACATATACAATCAAAGAAATTTAAGTTCAATAGCAAAAAACTCATCCAGGAAAGTACTGCCACCTTGCATATTCGTGCCACCAAGAAGCAATGTAAGCAAGGTTGAAGGGTGAGAGCCCATGCACACGGCGCATTTTATGCGCGCCGTGCGTCATTCTGCGCGACGTTAGCCGCGCTGTAGCGAATCGATTCATATGCGCACAAACATGGTGTTACGGACACCGAGCCGCGCACAGGAGCGTTCTGTGCCCCGCACCCCGAACGAGAGTGCGTGCGTCACCGTCTCCCGCAACCCGCACAGCGCGTCGTACGGAGTCACCCGCCCCGTGGCCCGCGCACCGCGTCGACCACCTGCTCGCCGACACCCTTACTAGATGAGAGACTACAATTAGGATATAAGTAGGAACATTTCAGGCAATAAACGTAGTCAGTAGTAAGCAGTTCATTGAGTGTTTTATTTCCGATCCTGATCCCGAGAAGAGCTTAATTTTATTAATTTATTTACCTGAACAAACACAGTCTACCCACAAAACAAAACTAAAATTAAGACTAAAGCATATGTGCCAGATGACGCGCGTTTACGGCACGTATAAAATACGGCGTGTGAATAGACTCTAAGGGTGCTGGTGAGACAACGGGCACTTGGGACTTGTCAACTTTGCGAATTCAAGGCGTGTCACTTACCACCAGGCCCACGTGACTTGACATCATAAAAGAAGCTTACTTCATATTCCTTGCTCTGTTGCTTTAAATTGGTGATATCGATGTTTAACTGTTCTATAAGCTTGTGGCACTCCTCCACTGTAGATGGAAGTTGCTTCTTTTCTTCTTTCTCAGAATCTGCTTGCTGTTTCTCTTCTGCGCTGTAGCTGCGTGCTGAGCCTCTGAAATTGCAACTATTCTGTCAATACCAAGTGACAGTAATAACAAGTTGTGCCACTTAGAGCTTTAATTAAACACATAAAACACTAACAGTAATAGTGTGGTAGGTGTACAAAATTAATGAAGTTTTTATTATAATATTTATGATAAGCTCCATACTGAGATATAGCACATGCCACAACCAGAGGACATGAAATCCTGGAAATTCCATGAGCCCGGAAAGTCCTACAGTTCTTCAATGCTGTCAGCCTGGGCTCTAAACAGTAATTAGTAGTGATCACAATAGATCAGGCGATGTTCACAGTGATGAGGGCCTACATATACCCTGAATGAAGCCACCCTATTAATAATAATCTTTTAGGCCTTGGGAGAGGATGAATATACAAAATTGCTTTACTTTTCTTATCATATATATTAACCATATTTAGATACTTTCTCCGTGGCCAAACGGTTACCATGCCAGACTGTCACGCAGAGGCCCCAGGTTTGATTCTCGGGCCGGGAGAAATATTTGTATGGCCTACATTTTTTTAACTCTGAGTTTGTCTTTTCTGAATTTGTCTGAGTTGTCTATGTGTGTGTCCATGGCACCCGCGACACAGGGTTTCCCCAGTGCGGGGTTATGTTATTATTATTATTTCCATTGTTTAATATCATGTAAATTCAGTATTAATTATTTACGAGTGACATTTAGAAATACTTATCGTAAAAATTAGAATGTTACATCAGAATTTCTAATCGTTTTTAACTAATTGGTAATTGCTCGGGGCATAACTAAATATGTATAATTTGAAATGTATTAGTGAAAAACGGGATTTTTAAAAGCTTGAATACCTCTTTTAGGTTATTTTTCGCGATAGGAACGTTGCGCAACATTTACCTGTAAATATTTGTGCGGAGACCTCGTAAAGTCGAGTCAGTCACGTATTTCGCTAGTCTGCTCACAGAATACACTTTCAGCGACGCCATTGCACTCGAAAAACCACAAGTTTCAATTAATTTTTCAAAAAAGTCGCATATAGGTTATGTCAGAAATTTATCTGTCAGAAAACTTTGCGCATTTTTTTTTAATTTTGTGCTTTTTTCATCGCTATTTGCTAA